ACCAAAGTACATGCCCTTGACTGGAATCAAACCTGGGACCTTTCTTCAGTCCAGCTGATGCTCTATCCACTGAACCAAACCTGTTAGGGCTAAATAATTATTTTTTTTAAATAATAATAATAAAATAGATAAACAAAATCACGTGCCCTTGAATTGATCTCAGTATTAGACACTTTATCTGGATGAAAAAACTAAATTTCTATAAGATTAAATGTGTAAAATCTTGTTACAGATCAGGATTAACAGATAACATTTGCAATTGATTTTGATGCTATGGAATAACTTTGTTCCCTAATTAAGAGAAATGTACTCCACCTTTCCCAAAAAGAATTCCACTTTTCTCTTTAGTAGACCTGTTTTACAAAAACTTGTACTGAATATTATTATTTAAAACATAAATAATGAGATTTAAAACTCATCAGTGAAAATTTGGAAATCAGTTTTCTCTCTTTTTATATGAATACTCATATAGCCCTAGCTGGTTTGACTCAGTGGATAGAGCGTCAGCCTGCAGACTGAAAGGTTCCAGGTTTGATTCCAGTCAAGGGCACATGCCCGGGTTTCGGGTTCAATCCCCAATGGGGGGCATGCAGGAGGCAGCTGATCAATGATTTATCATCACTGATGTTTCTATCTCTCTCCCTCTCCTTTGTTCTCTGAAATCAATAAAAATACATTTAAAAATAAATAAATAAGTAAATACCCATATAACCTGGTCGGTGTGGCTCAGTTGGTTGAGCGTTGTCTGGTGCACTGACAGGTCACCATTCTATTCCAGTCAGGGCGCATGCCTAGGTTTCAGGTTGGGGTGCCGTGAGGAAGGCAAACAATCGATGTTTCTCTCTCTCTCTTCCTCTCTAAAAATTGATAAAAACATTTTTTTAAAAAGAAAAAAGAAATAAATATCTACAATGTTGTCTCTTAGCACACAAAGCCTAAAATATGTACTATTTGCAAACCTCTGTTCTGGAGGAAGTAAAATCTGAGTGGGAAGCGAGTCAGTGTAAGGGAAGAAAGACTTCCAGCCAAAGAAGACGGCTTGGACATATGAGTGAGAACCAATAGGATGTGTGAACACTAGTTAAGTTAGCAACACCAAGTCATAGAAACATGCTTCCTCTGCTCACCTTTCTGAACCACCAGCAATTCCAGTTTCTTCCAGAAGGTGGCTCCCTCTATTTCCCAAAATTTTGTTTTGAGAAATTTTCCTACAGAAAATGTGAGGCTATTGTGAACACCCATGAGCTCACCACTCTGACAATCTTATCAATATTTTCTTACGCTTGTTGTTTTATCTCCCGTCTATCCATCTATCTATTCCTCAACCCATTTTGGTTTTTTGTGTGTCAGCACACCTTCCCCCATATACTTAAGCAAGTACTTCATTAACTAGTGCTCAATATTTACTCACAATTTCCTTTCTTTTAAAGTAAAATTTACATACAGTGAAATGCTCAAAGCTTACTTGAGCATTTCCTGAATTTTGACAAAATGTGTAATTAACTCTAAACCCATAAAAATATAGGACACTGTCATTAACACAGAAAGTTCCCGTATACCCCTCCCCATTCGATCCTTCCTCTCCCTCCCAGAAGCAACCACTGTTCTGATTTTCCTTTTTCACCACAGATTAGTTTTGCATGGTGTACAACTTCATATATACAAAGTGATACAATACATACTTTTTAAAAAGTCTTCTTTCACTTAGCATAATGGTTTTGGAACTCATGTTGATATGTAAAATCAATAGTTCATTCCATTTTATTTCTGAGTAGTAGTCCATTGTTTAAGTATAAATATCATAGTTTGCTCTTATATTCAGCTATTGATAGAGCACCTAGACATTTCCTGTGGGTATTATGAATAAAGATGCTATAAACATATATGAAGATTTTTTTGTTTAAAATTTTTATTACAAAATAATACAGGTGGTGTTTATTTTTCCTATTTTTCAGGAATGAATTGTGACTTAAATCTTTTGTCCAAAGCAGATTATTATTGTTTGAAACTTTTGACCATGGGAAAGTAATTACAAGAGTATATGACAACATAGAGACTATTCCCCTACCCAACACCCAGCTTCAACCATTATCCGCTCCTGGTCAGTCACTTTTCATCCAGGCCCTTACCGACTGGACCTTCTCTCATATTATTTTAAGGCAAATTCCAGCCATCCCGCTCTTTCATCTGTATTTAGTATACATCTGGAAAGGTAAACTATTACAAATTAAACATAATGAGAGTTTAATAACACCTAAAGGATTAACACCTAAAGGATTACATGTTAATATTGTCAAAAATCCAATCTGTATTCAAATTACCTCATTGCCTGTCTAGCTGGTTTGTTCAAATCGGGCCACAAATAAGATCCATACATTGTAATCGGTTGAGGAGGCGCTTGAATTTCTTTTCGTCTATAGGCAGTCAGTTGTGCAACCAGTGTCTTCACGCAGGGCCCTGCTCAGGAGCACCCCATGCTTGAGGCTTAATGCTCTACAGTCGCTGTCTTGAAAGTCTTAATAATTGTACCTTTGAATTTGTGTTTTGTATGTGCATGTGCTTGGGACTGGAAGCCTCAGCTGCCATGTGGACCCACTTCCTGGGGCCTCCTCACTTTCTAGGGACAGGTCCTAGAGTCAGGGGTTCCACAGTCCACTGACGCCAGCCTCCGCCTCTCCCTGCCCTCTCTCCAGAGCTGGCAGCACCACCTTGCATTCCACCCTCGGCTTGATCCCCACATCCTGGATCCAGGTACATAACGCATGCCAGGACATTGCTGGCTCGCTGCAGGCTGGGCCAGGAGGACAGTGGAAGGGAGATGGCTGACCCTACTTCTCCACCCCTTCTAACAAATGAAAAAAAATACCTATCATGAAAGGTCAAGAGATTGCAGAATAAAGGAAATAGCTTAATATTGTAATACCTTTAACAGCATCTTTTTCCTGCTTTTAGTAAAAAGGACCCCAAACTGGAGGTCATGAAAATTATACTGGGCCCTGAAAATTAGTTATGCAGCTAGTCCTGTCCATAGGTACTTATTCTCTCAACTTCTCTCTCTCCCTTCCTCCCTCTCTCTCTCCATTTACATGCTGTTAAAAAAATTAAGTTACCCTGTAGATGCCTATTGTATCCCTGTGGAGTCATTTCACATGTCCCTCTGTCCCCTATATTTCATATAATTGGTGGTTAGATATGAAGACTTAATTAGATGTATAGTTTTTAAAAGAATGCTTTATACTTTTTAATTTTACGAATACTTCATGATTTTTCATTTTAATGCTTCATTATTTTTTTTTTAATTTTTATTTCTTTTGTTGTTGTTCTTAAAGTCTCTGTCCAGCTTTTGGCTGACATATGAAATTACAGACAATAAATATAGCCCCCTTCCCCAGGTGTGAAGCTAAACCAGCTTCTTCTGGGGCTTGGCTACAATGTTCATAAAGACAAATTGCCTTGCCCAAGCCTATTTGGCTCAGTGCATAGAGCGAGGGCCTAGGGACTGAAGGGTCCCAGGTTTGATTCCATTCAAGGGCACATGCCAGGGTTGTGGGCTGGATCCCCAGTAAGGGGTGTGCAGGAGGCAGCCAGTCAGTGATTCTCTCTCATCATTGATGTTTCTATCTCTCTCTCCCTCTCCCTTCCTCTCTGAAATCAATAAAAATATATATATAAAAAAAAAAAAGACAAACTGCCTTAAAAGTCAGATGAGTGGCACTGTGGTCCCAGTGGCCTCTGCAAATGAGGCCTTTCCAGCCACCAGTGGACAGACACAGTGTCTAGCATCAGTCCGTGGGCCCTCCTCCTCCCAAGTCTCAGCAGCAGGATCCCTGCGAGGGAGCAGCGTACTTCCTTTGGAGGACAGCCGTAGTATTTCCCAGGGCACAGCCTGGACGAATGATGCCAAACTTCCCGGGCACAGACAGGTCACCCACAGTTGAGCCGAGGCGACACTCGCGGCTCTTGCCACCCCCAATCGGTCCCCCATCAATTACCAGGGGCAGCTGAGGCCAGAGGTCCTGGAACTCCTCAACACTCAGAGAACTGGCCTGGGAGCTGAGGTCGGCACTGGTGAGAGCAAGTGGTCCCCCACACATCTGGGCCAAGTCCTGCATGGAGACCTGGCCAGGAATCCGGATGCCTACAGGAGTGAAGGGGTTCAGGTCCTTACTGAGCTCCTCTGAGCGTGCCATCACCAGGGTCACTGGTCCTGGAAACAGGTCTCCCAGGGCCCCTCGGGGGCTTTCACATGACAGCACCTAGACGGAGACCACGCAGCTGGGCCATGGCAGCCCGCAGCAACTCGGTCCAACCGGTGTGCTCCGGGCTTGCGGCTCTCATGCCCCGGGCCCCACCACCCCACCCCCCCCCAGCCATATCAGTTGCGCCCAAGCAGGGATATAAGGGTAGGGAAGGTAGGCGGCCCTTCACTCAATCCCACACTGGCAGCCACCGTGGCCCTCCTTAAAGCTTCATAATTTTAAAGAAAGCTTCATAATTTCTAAAGCTGTAAACTATTAAACCTGTCATTTCCTCACCTAGTTACTGGGCATCGCTCTCAAAGGCCTCCTTGAAGTCACGGCCTGAGTCTTGGGGTTGACCAGCCTGCTGGGACCTCAGGTGGTAGAGTGTGAAAAGGCAAGACCCCGCCTGCACCTGAGGGGAGAGAGTTAATGGAAGAAACCACTCAGAATGCACGTACTGGTTCCAGGGGTGGTGCACAGAGATGCCGGCCCAGAGCCCTCTTCAAGCAGGGCTTGCTGCCCATCAGGCCCCGTGGCCAGCAGCAGCTCCAGCTGTCACAGGCCGGATGCCTCAGGAGTGAAGGGGTTCAGGTCCTTACTGAGCTCCTCTGAGCGTGCCATCACCAGGGTCACTGGTCCTGGAAACAGGTCTCCCAGGGCCCCTCGGGGGCTTTCACATGACAGCACCTAGACGGAGACCACGCAGCTGGGCCATGGCAGCCCGCAGCAACTCGGTCCAACCAGTGTGCTCCGGGCTTGCGGCTCTCATGCCCCAGGCCCCCCCACCCCACCCCAGCCATATCAGTTGCGCCCAAGCAGGGATAGAGGGGGGAGGAAGCAGGCGGCCCTTCACTCAATCCCACGCTGGCAGCCACCGTGGCCCTCCTTAAAGCTTCAAAATTTTAGAGAAAGCTTCATAATTTCTAAAGCTGTAAACTATTAAACCTGTCATTTCCTCACCTAGTGACTGGGCATCGCTCTCAAAGGCCTCCTTGAAGTCACGGCCTGAGTCTTGGGGTTGACCAGCCTGCTGGGACCTCAGGTGGTAGAGTGTGAAAAGGCAAGACCCCGCCTGCACCTGAGGGGAGAGAGTTAATGGAAGAAACCACTCAGAATGCACGTACTGGTTTCAGGGGTGGTGCACAGAGATGCCGGCCCAGAGCCCTCTTCAAGCAGGGCTTGCTGCCCATCAGGCCCCGTGGCCAGCAGCAGCTCCAGCTGTCACAGGGTCTGGCTCAGCTGCTGAGAACCACTCCCTTAGGTCATGACTCGGGCCTCGCACCTCTGGTGACTGAGCCCTGGGTGTACAGAGGTCGATCATTTGGCCCAAAGTTACTGACAGGCAGCAACTGTTCCAGAGCTCCTGGCCGGCTGACTGGGGTTCTGTTGGACCAGCAAAGTATTTTCCTTCTGCCTGATACTGTTTCCTTCCCCTTTCACAGGACGGATCCCTAGTAAATATCTTGCACCCTAAATTCAGTCTCAGTAAATGCTTTCAGAGTAGCCAGCCTGTGGCACAAGGTGATGTTATCCCACATGGTCTACTATCTATTCCTATAGGGTCACGACTCCAAAATATAACCTGTTCCCAACACCCTTCTGATCTTGTTTAACTTCCACTACACGGTTCCACCTTAATGTTGTGTGGCATCTTAAACTGAGTCTTGCCACAACGACCCTTTCCCCCACAAACACGCCTCCTCCTCGTCTCTGCCTTAAGACCAGTGATACTGCTGCTCACCGAGTCCCCGCTTTCACCACTGCCTCACCTGCTGCATTACCCATTGCTATGTTAACAAATTACACCCAAAACCCAGGGGCTTAGAAACAATACACAGTTACGGTCTCACAGGTTCTGTGGGTTTGGAATTGGAGAGGGTTTGTCTGGGTGGGAACTGGCGCAGCAAGGAACACCTTCTGCCCCAGAGCCTCTGGAGCAGTGGTTCTCAACCTTCTGGCTCTTTAAATACAGTTCCTCATGTTGTGACCCAACCATATAATTATTTTCGTTGCTACTTCATAACTGTAATGTTGCTACTGTTATGAATCGTAATGTAAATATCTGATATGCAGGATGGTCTTAGGCAACCCCTGTGAAAGGGTGGTTCGACCGCCAAATGGGTCGCGACCCACAGGTTGAGAACTGCGGGAGCACAGGGGCCTGGCTTTCAGCCCAGTGATACTGATTTCTGACCTCTGACCTCCAGAACCGAAAGAAAATGCATTTCCAATTTTTTAGCTACCAGTTTTGTAGTCATGTGTAATAGCAGCCGCAGGAATTTAATACAGCAGGTGAAGTATGCATAAAGGTGAAGAATGCTCTGGTCTCAGGAGGTAGACAGAGCTGAGAAGAGCACCAGCGTTGGATCAGAATTGCTCCATAAATAAATGAAGAGAATGGAATTCAGCTGCGCCTTTTGCCTATAAAAGAGTGTGTAACGATAAAGTCAGGAAAAAGTTATGGCGGGTGTTGTAAACTTGTGCTTTATGACACTATGTAAAATGCTTCTGGTCATATCTGTCATTTTTTTTTTAATGTTTTTGATTTGAGAGAGAGAAACATAGATGTGAGAGAAACATGGATGGGCTGCCTCCTGCAGGCCCCCCTCGGGGGATCAAGCCCCAAACCCCAAACCCAGGCATGACACACCTCCCTGGACGACGCTCCGCCCACCCAGCCACGCTGGACAACAGGAGAGAAGGACTCCGAAATCCGCCCGGCCGCACGCCCTCTCAGCCCCGGAGCCCCGCCGCCTCCCCCAGCATTCACTCCTCGGAGGGAAGGCGGCCCCGCCGCGCCTGGGCGTGACGTCATCACCGAGCGCCGGTTAGGGCCGGGAATTGGGGAGGAGATTGCGCTCATGACGTCCTTCCCATGATCCTCTCCTCCTCTTCACCCTCTTTCCTGCTCTCCGGCGGCCGCAGCCATGAAGTAAGCGAGGGCCTTGGTCCCAATCCCTCTCCATCTCGGGTGGATGGCCTCTCCGGCGGCCCGCACATGGCCTGCCCCCGCCGTCGACACCCTCCTTGATGCGCTTTCGCTTTCGTTGCAGGGTCGAGCTGTGCAGCTTCAGTGGGTACAAGATCTACCCCGGACACGGGCGGCGCTATGCCAGGACCGACGGGAAGGTGATGTGTGCTCCTAAGGGGGACCGGCTCGGCCCAGGCGGTTCCTGTACCCCGTCGTTCTCGGCCCCCGAAAGGCTTGCTTCAGGGGCCCTGTGTGCGGTGGTCGGGATCCGAATCCTCTGAGTGCACCGTTCTGGAGCTTGGGTCTGGTGTGAGTCAGGTCGGAAATTAGGGGCCTGTGTGACTTTAATGTCCCGGTGTGAGGAAAATGCCATAAAGTCTGGCTGCTTTTTGAACACCGGACCGCCGGGCATCCCGGGAGGGACCGGAAGCGGATGCCTCCGGAAGGCGGCGCCCGGCCCTCCCCTGCCCGGGCGTTCAGCTTTGCCGGCTCTTAAAGGGCCGGACCAAAGGCAGGTACCCGCGGTGCCACCAGTTAGTGACCTGCGGGTTGTGTGACCCCAGCCACTTGGTCTCTGGGCCTCGGTTTGGTAAGATGAGGGCGTGGAACTATGAATTAGTTGGCTAAGGGTTTCAGCTCAGCCTTTTCCCGCGTTGCCCAGTGGAGTAGGTAACGTCTGTACTCGGGCCTTGTCGCGACAGGTTTTCCAGTTTCTTAATGCAAAATGCGAGTCGGCATTCCTGTCCAAGAGGAACCCTCGGCAGATCAACTGGACCGTGCTCTACAGGAGGAAGCACAAAAAGGGACAGTCGGTAAGTGAAGTGCGCCTGGACGTTGTGGGCAAGCTCTGGTCGTGGTTGCTGCTCTGTACAGCTGTCACTAAATGAGACTGGGAAAGTCTCATCATCGGACAGGGAAGTGAAAATGATGGGTGTAAAGCGTCTCCTTATGTTTCTTATTAGTCTCACAGTAAGTGCCAAGTTGAAATCTGAAGCATCCCTTTGCCAAAGTCAGGTAAATCACATCAAACATACTTGGGTATAGGGCGCTTGGAAGACCTTAAGGTGTTACAGTGAACGGAAACTAAGTAATTATTATGGTAGTGTGGTTTTTATTACATTTATGGGCATAGATATCAGTGGAGTTTCAAGACTCCCCTGATTGTTCTCAGGACTGGGTGTGTTTTTTTGAAGTGCTCTTTCAGCTTGACAGGGATTTTTGAGAAAAGGTGTGAGTGCTGCGGCAGTAGGGTCAGTGTGCAGGAGGCTTGGAGTTAAGTGCATTTGACGCATCCAGTGGGGTGGCCATATGCTGATGAGGGTGTGGAGAAGTGGGAACCCTTGGCATTGCTTGGTGTAAGAGGGCACGGCACGGGCACTGTGGAAAACGGTTTGGCAGTTTCTCAGAACTTTAAACAGAACTATTGTAAGATCCAGCAATTCCATTTCTAACTGTATACCCATGAGAATTGTAAGCAGGAGCGTATGCAGATAACTTGTATATTTCTGTTTGTAACTGTTATTCCCAATAGCCAAAAGGTGGAAACAATCCAAATGTTCTCTAGGTGGATTTGTGAATAACAAAATGTGGTATATGCATATAGTGGAATATTATCCAGCCTTAAAAAGCCTCCAGCTTCTATGACTCCACTTTTATGAGGTACATAAAGTAGGCAAATTCATAAAGACAAAAAATAAAGGTTGAGGGGGAGCTATTGTGTAATGGGTGCAAAGTTTGGGGTGGTGAAAAGTTCTGGAGATTAATAGTGGTTGCACATAGTTGTGAGTGTTCTTAATGTCACTGAATTATACACTAAAAATGCTTTAAAATGGTCAGCTTGATATATTTAAAATGGTCAGCTTGATATATATATTTCACCACAATAAGAAAAATATTTTTAAAATGTATTGAGATGGAAAAAAGTGTAAATAAGCAAATGGTGGAATTTTATATAAGATTTCATCTCAGTAGAAAGTTTAAAGTAAAATGAGCATTTTAGTGTAACCTCAAATGTCCCTGTTTTTTCCATGTGTCCTGTTTAACATTTAAAGATATTTGCATATCCCTGCCTTAATAAACAGTTTTTTTAAAGTACTATGCAGTTAACTTCCTTAGAGCTTCATTGTTTGTAGTAAAAAACGGCCAGGGTTTGTAATAGATGGCTTAAATAAAAGATCCAAGAGAGAGCTCCCCTACCCCTTGCAACATATGGTAGGTATAGAGCAGTGGTTGGCAAACTCATTAGTCAACAGAGCCAAATATCAACAGTACGACAATTGAAATTTCTTTTGAGAGCCAGATTTTTTAAACTTAAACTATATAGGTAGGTACATTGTTATTAACTTAATTAGGGTACTCCTAAGGCTTAGGAAGAGCCACACTCAAGGGGCCAAAGAGCCGCATGTGGCTCGCGAGCCGCATTTTGCCAACCATGGGTATAGAGCTACAGCAGGAAGAGTCCTCACCTGGTAATGCTGGTATCCTGACTTCCAGCCTCCAGAACTGTGAGAAGTAAATTTCTGTTTATAAGCTGTTCAGTCTGGTATTTTATTACAGCAACCCAAGTGGACTAAGACAAATACTAATCTTAAGACTTACTTACCCTGCCTCAAAGACTTTGTTAATTTCTCACCCAAATTCATGGAGAACGATTCATAAGTGTGTGTCTCTCCCCCCCACCGCTCTTTTTGTTCTGTAGGAAGAAATCCAAAAGAAAAGAACCCGTCGTGCAGTCAAATTCCAGAGGGCCATCACTGGTGCATCTCTTGCTGATATAATGGCCAAGAGGAACCAGAAGCCTGAAGTTAGGAAAGCTCAGCGAGAACAAGCTATCAGGTGAGGAAGCCTTCCTTATAAGCATTATTTAGGTTTAATAATCAGGAGTTTATAATACAGTCTAAGTCAAGCATGACGGGCCGAGAGTTTGACATGCTTGGCTCTAATTGATTTGTTGAAATTTCTACATGCAGTGAATGCTGCTGTACAATTTCTAGTATATGTTAAACTGACTTGGTGGTCAATAACATTGACAACCCCCTTGGGCTTATCCTAAAAATAATTGGGGATAGGGAAAGAATATGATAATTTTACTTTTCCAAAACAATCTAGCTCCTTGTTAATAATCTGTATCCTTAAAGAGTAAAGCACTTTGCCTTAAGTTATTTTTAACCCTACAGGGCTGCCAAGGAAGCAAAAAAGGCTAAGCAAGCATCTAAAAAGACAGCAATGGCTGCTGCTAAGGTAATTGTGGAATTGTCTTGGATTTCTTAGTTAAGACAACAGGAAAACTTAACTTTTAAAAAATGTGCACACTTGCGTGTGTGTGCGTGTGTGTGTGTTACTGATTTCAGAGAGGAAGGGAGAGATAGAAACATCAATGATGAGAATCATTGACTGGCTGCCTCCTACACGCCCCCCACTGGGGATCAAGCCTGCAACCTGGGCATGGGAATCGAACCATGACCTCCTGGTTCATAGTTTGACACTCAACCAGTGAGCCATGCTGTCCAGGCAGAAAACTTACTTTTAATCCAAATTGTGGTAAATAAAAAGTTTTGGGTTTTTTAAAGAATTCAGTGCAAGGCTCTAATGGCAGTGATGTTCATAACTTGTTTCTGGGTGTTTTGTTTGTTAAAGCTTATTTTGAAATTTTAAACTTACAGAGAAGTTGTCAATAATAGAGTTTACATAGCTTTTCTCAATGTTATCAATTTAGATAAGCATAGTGAAAAACACACACAGAAGTTAGTATTTGTCTTATATGATTAATGTCCTTTTTTTGTTAGGATACAATTCCATATCCCACACTGGGCATAAGAGTTGCAAAAAAGTGATTAAAAAAGAAAGTTGCATGGAATAATACCACATAATATATCTTTTTACAGGCTCCCACAAAGGCAGCACCTAAGCAAAAGATTGTGAAGCCTGTGAAGGTTTCTGCTCCCCGTGTTGGTGGAAAACGCTAAGTTGGCAGATGAGATTCTTAAATAAAGACCTGACTATAACTAAATTGTGGTGGATTTTTTACGCTGAAAATAGAGGCATATTGTGCCTACATGGTAATGGTTGAACTATAAAGTTAAGAATTTAAGATTTAGGCATTTTTAAAAAGAGTTAATTTCTCTGAAATAATACCTCCTAATATAAGTTCTCTTCGTTGGAGAGATGTTAAGCCAAATGATGTACATAAGATCTGTACGGTTAACTACTAGCTTTGCTCAGCTGAGATGTAAGAGCACATTACATAGATGGCAAAGTCTTAACCTTTTGGTCACGTGACTAAGCACTAGGACGCTGTATAGAGTTCAAGTTGATTACTAAAACATGCACTTTTTTTTATTGCTTGTGTCTGTAGAAAGACCTTTTAATTTGTTTTAATTATTTTTTTCCATGATAAGTGAATACATTTATGTTAATTGGCTTTGACTTTTGTTCACTGGTATCTCACCTCTTTTTCTTCTTTTTTTTTTCTTTATTGAGAGAAAGAAATGAGAATGAATAAAGCTTTCAAAGCCCCCCCCCCCCCCCCACCCTGTGTCCCTGCCATCCTGGTGGTGACGATGAGACACCTGTCATTGTCATCGTATCTCACCTCTTACCATTACCTTATAGCTGAGTTCTAAGTGCTTAAAACTATCAGCTGTATTAATCTATTATTTTCCAAAACAAAGTTTAAGTGATGAGCACATCTTCAGTAGAATATACTTAAAATTTCCAAAGCAGTTTGTTGAGCTGGGAGTTTGACAGAGCTATAGTTAAAATTGCAGAAATGCCTGAGAAGTCTGCTGATGTTCAAGAGATATGTGTATATGAAATGTGATGTGGAAAATAGTAATCAATGATAAAAGTACAGAAAGTAGATCATCTTGTCTGTACCACATTGTGCCAAGTTTTAAGGATAAAATGAACACGTC